TGTCCTGTAAATCATAGAATCTGTGGCCCAAGATATGGTGAGATTAAGGAAACTGAGATAGACTGGGGGAAACGCTGTGTGGATAAGTTTGAGATTATTGGGATCACAGGAGAAGGCACCTATGGACAGGTGTACAAAGCTAAAGACAAAGACACTGGTGAGTGTTTTTGACACATCAGTTCCACTATGTATGGAGAAAAATGTCAAGGCTAATCCTTTTCTAACCAACTGAATTACATATGTAGTTTAATTTGTCCTCTCTCTTGCCTTGTAGGTGAAATGGTGGCTTTAAAGAAAGTCCGATTGGACAATGAAAAAGAGGGCTTCCCGATTACTGCCATCAGAGAGATTAAAATATTGCGACAGCTGAACCACAAGAGCATCATCAACATGAAGGAGATCGTCACAGATAAGGAGGATGCTCTCGACTTCAAAAACGATAAAGGTGTGAACGAGGCGACCGCACCCTCCGACCGCAGCGCATTTATTCTCATATGTAGCTGTTTGTTGACTAAAATCTTTTCCTACCTTCGAACACAGGGGCTTTCTATCTTGTATTTGAATACATGGACCACGACCTCATGGGTTTGCTGGAGTCCGGTCTGGTTCACTTCAACGAGAGCCACATCAAGTCTTTCATGAGACAGCTGCTTGAAGGTCTGGATTACTGCCACAAGAAGAACTTTCTGCACAGAGACATCAAGTGCTCAAACATTCTGCTCAATAACAAGTACGTTTGTGGTGTTTAATAGTTATCTCTCTAAATATATATCCATATATACTTCATGCTTGTTTTGTCACATATCTCTAGTTATGTTGAAATACTGTTTTTTTTTTCTTCTCCTTATCAGAGGTAAAATAAAACTTGCAGACTTTGGTCTGGCTCGACTGTACAACTCTGAAGAAAGGTGAGCCTCCATTATCCCCCTCTCCTTCCTACTTCCCTCTGAAAACACCATGATTTCAGGTCAATAACTCAAATATCTCTCGCAGTCGGCCATACACCAATAAGGTCATCACACTATGGTACCGTCCACCAGAGCTGCTCCTGGGAGAAGAGAGGTACACGCCTGCTATAGATGTGTGGAGCTGTGGGTAAGTGCAGGGAGGAAATGAGCAGAGTTTTCTTTTTTCTTTTTTTTTTAAAATGTTATTGGGTGTCTCATGGCAATAAACTGTATGGGTATTTTTTGGCCGTTTCAGATGCATTCTGGGAGAGTTGTTCACAAAGAAACCCATTTTTCAAGCTAATCAGGAGTTGGCCCAGTTGGAGCTCATCAGGTATGTTGTACAATTGGGTCAAACCGTTTTTCCACTACAGTTTACAACCTGGGAGAAAGAGTATTGCAACATATGTCTGGCCTCAGTTTAGGAACTCTGCTGTCAATGGTAGTCCTGGCTACAAAGTTGGCTAAAGGTTTAGCAGAATCAAACTATAGCTTGAAGAGGAAAAAAGCAATTATTGAGGCCAAGCTTATTAAAAACGGTTGAAAATAGCTGAAAAAAATAGATTAATAAAAGGAATTTGAAATGAATTTAAAAAAAATTAAAGCCAAAATGCAGCAACACGGAAAAGTAGCAGAAATAGCCAATAGTTTACTGAGGTAATAGTTTAAAGATTTGCAAATTGTTTCATTTTGTTTAACTTGTTGCAGCCGTATATGTGGCAGCCCATGTCCTGCTGTCTGGCCAGATGTCATCAAACTTCCCTTCTTCAACACCATGAAACCAAAGAAACAGTACAGGAGACGGTTAAGAGAGGAGTTTGCTTTGTGAGTGCCTGTGAATGATCACCTCATCACAGTTGCTGTTTATTCCTTCTACTAGTGTGTTAAACCTGTGGTTCTGCTCCCTCTGCTCAGCGTACCTCCCACAGCCCTGGATCTGTTTGACCACATGCTGAACCTGGATCCCAGCAAACGCTGCACAGCAGAGCAAGCGCTCGGTAGCGAGTTTCTGAAGGATGTGGACCCAGACAAGATGCCCCCACCTGAGTACGGTCACACCGTTAGCCCTTCTTGTCTCTGCACTCCCAGAGTTCATGTTAACTTAACGTTTGTGTCTCCTACAGCCTTCCACTGTGGCAGGACTGTCACGAGCTGTGGAGTAAGAAACGTCGCAGACAGAAGCAGATGCCGGAGGAGCTGGTGGCCCCCAAGGCCCCGCGTAAGGAGCTGGGCCTGGACGACAGCCGCAGTAACACACCCCAGGGATTCCCTGCTGCCGGTGGCAAACCTCAAAACGCAGCAGCTTCTGCTCTGCTCGGTGAGTCCACCATTAAACTGTTTAATTTGATCAAATATGTTTGTGAGCTCTGTGAGCTTTAATACAACCAATCTGCATGACATCAAACAACCTAGTCAACCCAAAAAAGTTCATAAATGAGTAGTTTGTAAAACCTAACACTAAAAAGTTTGAGTTTAAATGAGTAGTTTGTAAAACCTAACACATCTTTGAACCCTCCTTTACAGATCCAAAGGGTCCAAACTCCCAGCTGACACAGGAGCAGCTGGCGGTCCTCCTGAATTTCCTGGGTCAACCCAAGAGCGCTGGCAACATGGCACAGTTTGTCCAGTCGGTGAGCACAAAGGTCAACCAGGAGACGTTGCAGCAGCTCTCCAAAGCCCTGGCTCCCACCGACCCCGCTGAGCCTCCCCCTCAACCTCTACCTGCCAAACCTCCTCAGCCTCCTGCTCCCACGGGAGTGCCCCGCACACCACCAATGCCCAAGCCCCCGTCACCGCCCGTGTCCGCACCATCAGGTTTACCAGACGGGGAGGCTGCAGCTGCCACCCAGACCGCCATGACCATGCTGCTCGCTCAGCTCCTCCAGGCTCAGCAGCCCCAGAGGCAGGAGGCGGCCGACGGAGGAGAAGGGACGGAAAGCACAAACTCCACTGCCACAGCGCCACCAGGAGGCCCACCACTACCCCCAGAGGTCAAGCAGCCTCCAGAGCCCAGCCCAGTCTCTCCAGGTAAACCGTTAATTCAAAGTGCAATAGAAGACACTGCTGCGTCTCCTCATATGTTTCTGGCCTCATGTCAGTGACAGATGATTGGTTTTCCAACTGAAAGGTTAAATGGAAATGCTTGAGGCCCAGGAGAGTTTCCTGATGGAGTGTGATGTATGGAGTGTGTTGTGTAAAACCCGCAAAGTACATTAGCAGATGAATGTGGAAAAAATGCAACAATCATGCAACAATTCCATGTCTTGATTGAATTCTAAAACCTCAGCAGTTCTGCCGTGCTTCATATTTAGTATAATCTCATCCATTCAAGCAAAGGTTTAGAAAACCTCTAGAAAAAGTTTATATCTTAATACTAACGTTATTTTATTTGTGAACCAGTTTCAGAGGTAGGTGCCATTCCAATCCTGCCACCTGACCAGAGACCACCCGAGCCCCCAGAGCCACCTCCACACTCTGACCTGGACTACCGTCAGCCTCCACCCGAGCCCAAGATCGCCCACGCTCCTCCAGTTGCATCAGCAGTTGGGGTCGATGGCGGGAGGCCTCCGGAACAGGACTACCCACCTCTCCCCCCTCCTGCAGAGGGACCTGGATACGCCGGCGATTACAGCCATCAACCGCCCCCGCCGCCACCACCCTTCACACCAGCAAGGTTCGGGGACAGCTACATGGGTCACATGTTAGGCGGGGGACTACCTCCTCACACTCTGAGAGACGTGTTTAGTGGACCTGGCCAGGTCACTGGGTCCTCATCCAGTACTGGGGTTCTGGCCCCAGCTCATCCAGACCCATTCCCTCCAGGTCCTGGGGCCACAGGGCAAAGCAGCATGGTGTTCTCTGGGGACAAGGACCATCGTTTTGAGTACAATCAGAGCCCCTTACCCGTGGAGCCACAGCCCAATCCCAGCGCCCTCCACCTGTACAACCACACCATGGCTCGAAAGGACGGCGTTCCTCCTCCACATCTCCCTCCCCCCATCCCAGCACAAGGACAACCCTGGGGCTCCCCCTCACAAGTCGGGGCTCCGCCACTACCCCTTGGCTTTGTCCCACACATGAACTCGACGGCGACTATCCGAGGACGAGGACTGCCTTTCTGAACAACTGGAAGTCTGGAAGGCAGATTTAGATAGACTCGGAAGAGGAAAAAAAAAAATCCCGAGGACTTGTTTGACTAGTTCTCCGGAGCCTGAAGCAGACACATCTGGAGATGCACATGCCCAGATTGTAACAACGTAAATCTGTGAAGCGTTGTATTCCTCCCCCTCAGCCTGTAATGTGGAGTACAGCGCAGAAGGACAGCTGCAAACTACCGAGAAGAGCGTTTTCTTGCTCGTCCCATTTTCATATTTTTTTTTGTAATCTACTCTGCTGTCTTTTAAATTAAACTTGTCCAGTGTACATTTTTTCCTTTTTTGCAGGCAGGTGACTTTTGAATCTCTACCTTCGGCCTGTCTGTTACTGCTCCGGGACAGACTAGTATTTTTTTTTTTTTGCACTACTGACTTATTTAGGTGGAAACTGTTTTAGCTACAAAAGGAACGGACGATGTGCTGTCACACGTGTGCACATAGAATACGATCAGTAAATGTAGTGTCCTGTTTTTTTATGCCCAAACAATAACTGTGCTGATTATTACAGAATCAGCCAGTCAGGTTTTTTTTTTTTTTTTGAGACCGCTAGTTCCAGTGAGACTGGCAGCACTTGGACAACTGCAGCAGATTTACGTCCGACTTTTACAGAGAGAAGGCTGTTTTCACTGTTAAATTCCACTTGCCTTTTTGCCAGTAGTTGTAAAAAAACGACAAGAAAAAAACAGACCAGAGTTCCAAAAAAAAGAAACATTTTGTATTAAAATGATTGTTCTTTTCCCTTCTTCTTTGGCAAATGTTTATTAAAGAAAATGCCAAATGTGTCTTTGTCTTGACTGTTATTGGAAATGGTTATATCGCATCACACCACTAGATGGCAGTATTTTGTAACCTAACGTGTCCCTGTAGTTCAGCAGTAACCTTGGCTTCACTGCTGTTAAATCTTGACATTTAAAGCTTTACATTCAGACTGGGAAATAGATATAAAGTAGCCAAAAGTTTCACAAAACAGCTTCCGGCTAGATAAGTAAAACAAATTTAAAAATGGTGAGTAATGGAAGTAGCCAAAATGTATCCAATTACATCAGGAGATGAAGCAGCTAAAACTCTATAGAAGAAATAAATAATAATACCTGAAAAGCTAAAAGCTCAGTAAGACAACAATGAGCCAAAGAATCAAGTGACTAGTTCTCCGGAGCCTGAAGCAGACACATCTGGAGATGCACATGCCCAGATTGTAACAACGTAAATCTGTGAAGCGTTGTATTCCTCCCCCTCAGCCTGTAATGTGGAGTACAGCGCAGAAGGACAGCTGCAAACTACCGAGAAGAGCGTTTTCTTGCTCGTCCCATTTTCATATTTTTTTTTGTAATCTACTCTGCTGTCTTTTAAATTAAACTTGTCCAGTGTACATTTTTTCCTTTTTTGCAGGCAGGTGACTTTTGAATCTCTACCTTCGGCCTGTCTGTTACTGCTCCGGGACAGACTAGTATTTTTTTTTTTTTGCACTACTGACTTATTTAGGTGGAAACTGTTTTAGCTACAAAAGGAACGGACGATGTGCTGTCACACGTGTGCACATAGAATACGATCAGTAAATGTAGTGTCCTGTTTTTTTATGCCCAAACAATAACTGTGCTGATTATTACAGAATCAGCCAGTCAGGTTTTTTTTTTGTTTTTTGAGACCGCTAGTTCCAGTGAGACTGGCAGCACTTGGACAACTGCAGCAGATTTACGTCCGACTTTTACAGAGAGAAGGCTGTTTTCACTGTTAAATTCCACTTGCCTTTTTGCCAGTAGTTGTAAAAAAACGACAAGAAAAAAACAGACCAGAGTTCCAAAAAAAAGAAACATTTTGTATTAAAATGATTGTTCTTTTCCCTTCTTCTTTGGCAAATGTTTATTAAAGAAAATGCCAAATGTGTCTTTGTCTTGACTGTTATTGGAAATGGTTATATCGCATCACACCACTAGATGGCAGTATTTTGTAACCTAACGTGTCCCTGTAGTTCAGCAGTAACCTTGGCTTCACTGCTGTTAAATCTTGACATTTAAAGCTTTACATTCAGACTGGGAAATAGATATAAAGTAGCCAAAAGTTTCACAAAACAGCTTCCGGCTAGATAAGTAAAACAAATTTAAAAATTGTGAGTAATGGAAGTAGCCAAAATGTATCCAATTACATCAGGAGATGAAGCAGCTAAAACTCTATAGAAGAAATAAATAATACATGAAAAGCTCAAAGCTCAGTAAGACAACTATGAGCCAAAGAATCAAGTCCGTTCAGAAAAAAGTAGATAATTATTTTACCACAAAAAAGCTAATGAATAGCCCAGGAGATAAGGTCCTTTATCTCTGTACTGACCTCAACCTAAGTTAACTAAAAGTACATTAAATGTGTTACTTAAAAAGTACAGCAATTTACCAAAAGATAATTAAAGCTCAGGCAAAAATAAAGTTAGAGTTAAAGTTTAGCCAAAGGTACAGCCAGAGAAATAACAATTAGCTCAGGGTAAAGGTACAAGTCAGTCTAGAAAAGTTGGCCAAAGCCCACAGACAGCTAACACTTAGCCAACAATTTAGCAAACATACTTCAGTAGACACATTCAAATAATCCACAGCACTAAAATATTGAATGCAACGAATAAACCTGGTCAGAAATCTGTTAACAACTAAGGATTAGCAAGATTAGTAGAGAAGATAACGGTAAAGGTTGATGCCACACACACAGGACATAAGGCACAATGAAATCCTCTCAGACCCATGGTGCAAAATGACAAGAATATTATAAAAATAAAAAAGAAATTTACAAGCGGCAAGGAATTAACGATAAAAGTTCAGAAGCTATTGATTAGTCTTTAAGGAATGACACCTAACCATTAACCAGCATGATATAAAAACAAAAACAAAAACATGTATAATGTAGCCAGACCCAAAATACTAGAAAAGTGCTAAATAAAAATCCTGCAAATGACTGGGAGATAACCTGAAGTTAAACAGCGTCGCCGTAACCAAGTCAGATGATAAAATGCTAACTTAATTAATTAGGCAAAATGGTCAAAGTTGGACAAATACAGTATGTATGAGAAATTCAAGATAAGATCAAAGCATACAGTAAGACATGCAACACTTATCCCAGAAAGTCAGTCAGTAATATTAGAAATGATTAAAACCTAGCCAATCTTATAGAAAAAAAAAAACTTTAAATTGTCTAAAAGAAAATGTCCATAAATGAAACTGAATCCAATAACTAGAAGCTACAAGAGACAAATCCAGCTCATAAACAGACATAGAACCAGGAATGGAAACAAAGATTTGATCGCACCAAGTTCCTCAGGTTTCTTTGAACAACTACTGACAAAGTGTGCAGGAGATCAAACTCCAGAGAGACGGCAGCCACTGTGTCAGACTCCTCACACATCAGTCTCCCCCTCCATCCACTCCCCACATCAGTATCTGCATCTGTCACACTTCACATTGCTGCTAATGAAAAAGTGATTATCTCAGAGGGAGAAAGCTTGTGCACAGCCTCAGTCAGAACGTCTACGGCACCTCGTCTGTGATTAATACGCCGTGGATGATGGATTGCTGATGGATCGCCTGGCTACGACTGGCAGCATCATATTTTCTCCGTGATTGATTGAAACAACAGTCAGTGGGATTTAAAGGAAAGAGGAAGAAAAATCTGAAGAGGCAGCAGCAGCTGCTGAGAGGATTCATTTTTACCTGAAGTGTCGTTTCTGCCGGAAGAAACCTTTTTCGACCTCAGCTCAGGCCTGACACCATCCAAACCCTGGCTTTAGATGAAGAAAAAACAAAACAAAACAACACTTACAATCCCAATAAAACTCCAAACATTTCCTCCAAGCACCAACACCTGAGGAGATGTGAACAGGTGAGCTGATTATATGGTCACCTGACTTCCTGACATCCAATGAAAACCTGTGAATTTATCAGGGTTTCCTATCATGTAAATAAAGTAATAAATATTCTGTTTAAGTAACATAATTACACATTAGTTCACAATATAAACATGAAACAAACATTAAAAAATGTAAACATCCAAATGACTTTTTTTTTACTCTTACCAACATTATCATTTATTTATAACAACATTTTATATTTACATTTTTAACAGTATAGTTATTTCTTAGCACATGAACAAATACAAAAACATTGATCAAAAGTCTGATTTGCAGCCCTTCTCAGAGGATGTTCTTGGGGTCAAAGTCAAATCCATGGGGGCCCTAAAACAAAAATTGATTGGATGTTCTTAAAATCTTGGGGTCAAAGTCAAATACATGGGGGCCCTAAAACAAAAATTGATTTCACATGGACCCACAGGCAGTGATCTCCAGCCTGAGAATAAAAAACCTTCAGAAAGGAATCCATCTGTGCTTTCACCATTAGCTGCAATGCCCTTTTGAAGCACAGTGTGGTGCTAAAGGACCAGAACATAATCTTAATTTAATCTGCATCACAATCCACCTCAGTATGATTTCATAAGCATGTGCAAAACTGAAGAGAGACAAAAAAAAAGAAAAAAGAAAATGAGCAGGATCCACCTTTCACCCTGGAACCAAAGATGCACAAATATGCAGATGATGGTGTGAACGTTAGCACCGATGTTTGACCAGTGGAGCTGATAACACTGATGCATTCTGGGGATCAGATGTGTGAAGGAGCTGGCACAGGAGGCGCCGAGGAGAAGCATCTCCCGTAACTTTCCTACCTGCAGGCACTTGTTGGAAATGGAATGCGGCCAATTCCATTATGATCCACGAGCTGGTATCAGGGGAGATTGGAGCTTGTTAACTCATTACTGCTCCAGTTCTGGCTCGAGGAGCGGCGTTAACTGTTGACGATGAGCAGCAGCGGCGGGAAAAAAAATCATGAGGTGGTTAGGATGATTTCTGGAAGGATGAATGCGCTGCCTTTGGATTACCCTTTCAGACTCGCAAAACGCTGAACTAGGATGTGACCCACGGTGCATCACTCTGCCCACGGGGCTGTACTGGAGTGAACGCCGTTCGGTCCGATG